GGAAGTAAATTTATAGAAATGTACCCACCAGCTTTGACTCCAAGTGAGTTTTGACTTTTGAAAAATCAAACCCACCTGATCTCAAGGAATGAAGATTTGCCACCATTTAGGTCATGCTGATAACACTGCAGGTTCTGAAAACACTTCCAAAAGATACAATCCAGAATGCCTGATGTTATACATAATTGCATCAATGCAGTATGTATGGCGTACCATCTTAGACTCATTTGAAGGTGTAACTTGTGTTGTTGCTGTTGTTTTTAAGTCTTGTTAATATTGGCCTGTGCTTATATTTTGTGAAATGTGAAGAGTCTGAGTGATTATTGAGATGAATCTTCAAACACAGTTATGACACTCAGCATTTCTATAGATGGTTACCTTTCTCCCCATGTTAACTATTCAGGATAAATTTGATTTTTAGAGGAGCTCCTCATTTAAATTATATTCTCTTCAAAATTTGCTCCTCCATTTAAATGTTCAGTGCATGTTATGATAGCCACCAGCTAAAAAAGAATAATTATCACGCTTAGGCATAGCTGCAGAGCTGCCTCTGCTTGATCATTTTTTAAGGGGTTCATGCCTTACTGTACCTTTTTATTGTCTGCTTTATTGGAAAATGTCCAGTTTTAGCTAGATTTCCCTTTCTTCATTTCCCTAAGAGCCAATGAGTTGAAAATGCCATTGTTTTTTCTAATGTGATGAGTATCGAGGCAGAGCCAGCTCTGGGATGTCAGGAAGCACATAGTTTTTAAAAACAATACCGAAATCATAAAAGGAAGAGGACTGAGTTTCAAGAATGTAAAATTTCTTGTTGTCACAGTGTGAGTGATCAAGCTGTACTTCTGTGCTTAGTGCCATTTATAAGAGTAGAGAGAGAACATTAATATAGAGAGAACAAAGGAAAGAATCAGGATTCTTTGGTTGCATGCAACAGAAGTGGACTCTGGCTATAGAAATTTAAAAAGAGAGTTTGTTAGAAGAACATGGGGTAAGGGGGGAGAGTGTGCTGACAGAATCGAAGGGAAAGTTGAGAAATCAAGCCGAAAAGCCAGAATCAAAAATCACAAGAGCTAGAACAGCATTGGGGTGCCTGGCAAGGATTTGCAGATGGTTTCTTCCAGTGCTACCATCTTGATGAATGAACAACAACCATTTTCAGTTTTGTTTTCATTTTCTTAACAAGTCAAATTCCAGGGTCTCATTGGCTTAGCTTAGTTCACGCGGCTACAGGAAGTCAGGGGACCTTGACTGACAGTCTTGCCAGTCATTCTCTACTGAGGCAGTCCCTGAAAAATGCACTTTAAACAATACCCCAGAAGTACTAACTATAAAAGAAAAAAATTGATAAATTTGACTACAGTAAAATTAAGACTGTCTGTTATTCAATAGATACAACTAAGAGAGTTAAAGGCAAGCCAAAGCAGGAGAGTAAATATTTGAATCGATACACCAAACAGGGACTCATCCAGTATATATAAAGAACTACAAAACAGATGAGCATCCAATAGACAAGTCTTGAAAAGGTAATTCACTGAAGAAGATATTCCAAATGACCAATAAATATATGAAAACATGTACAACTTCATTAGTCATCAGCGAAAGCTTAATTAAAGCCACAATATGACACCACTACACACACACCACTATAGCTAAAATGAGAATGACAGACAATATCCAGTGCTGGCAAAGATGTAGAGCAACCAGAACTCTCATATACTCCAGAAGAGAGTGTAAATTGGTATGATCACTTCTCATACCCAATGACAGAACGATTCCACTCCTGGGTATATACCTAAGAAGAATACATACATATATGTACCAAAAAGCATGTATATGAATGTTCACAGAAGCACTAGTCATAATGACCCAAATCTGGAAGCTATCAACTGTCTATCAGTATTACAATGTCACATTCACACAATTGAATGTAATATAGAAATGCAAATTAGTATACTACATGCAACAAAATGAATGAATCTCATGAATATAAAGAAGATATACTGTACAACTTCATTCGTATAAAGTTTAGAAGCAAGCAAGCTGATGTATGGTGTTAGGTACCCTGAGAGAAGAAGGGAGCCGTTAGGGACTGAGATGGGGCACAACGGGGTCTTCTGGGGTGGTGGCAATGTTCTGTCTCTTGACCTGGGTGTAAGTTATCTAGGTGTCTTTACCTCGAGAAAATTTATTGAACTTTAAATATGCGTTTGGGGGTGGGGGTAGATGTGTTCTATACTTTAATTAAGAGTTTTGAAAAGAGAAAGAATAATGAGAGAGGAAGGCTAAAGTCCACCCATACTGGCCCTAGAGTAACAATGCCTGGGTTTAAATTCTGACTCTGTCCCTTCCTCACTGTGTGACCTTGGGCAAGGGACATAATTTCTTTGTGCCTTAGTTTTGTCATTTGTAAAGGGAGAGAATAGCATTATCTACCTCGTTGGGTTGTTGGAAGGATTGAATGAGAAAATCCAGGTAAAGTGCTTAAAACAGTGTCAGATATGCAATAAGCATATACAAAAGATCTACAAAAATGCACTTAGGTGCATTTTTCTGTATTTGTGTTATACTTTAAGTGGATGAAAAAGGCAGTGGTTTTGAAACCTGGTTGATAATTGGACTTAGGCAAGTAGCTTAACCTCTGTGAATGATATTTTCTTAATCTATAAACTAAAACCGATACCTCCCATAGGTTGTGATGAGGATTGATGAAAGCAGTGTATGTGGAGCACCTAGTCCAGAATGAGACATTAAAATATTTCATTCACCTGATCCGCTCACTGGGGTAGAAGGTGAAAAATTGGGGCAGCCCTTTCCTGTGTTAAGATTTGGAGACTGTCTGGGGTTTGTCGCTTTGCTAGGGGAATGACCTCCTGTCATTATTGGTGCTGTGAATGGAACCTGTCACAGTGTGTCAGTATGGTGGCACAGTGACTCAGCCTCTGGGACAAAGGGCACTTCTGCTTATCAGAGCCACTGCTTGACAATGTCCCACAGCCACCACCATTGGTTTCCTTTTCCTGTGGTTAGTCATAGCCACACCTGCAAGTTGGGGTGCAGTTCCTGAGCCAGGTGTGCACTCAGTAAGTATTTACTGAGTGTCTGCCAAGTGCCAGGTGTTGTTAGACTTTGGAGCATGTAATAACACCTAAAAACAGGGTAAGAAGTAAAATAAAATAAAACGTAGGCCTTGCCTTCAAATAGCTTATAGTCTATTAACAAGATATATGTGTTTCTTCTGAAAGCTTTTTTCCCCTTTTTTCCTCTCTTCTGATATCTTCCACTCACTCAGTATATATTCTCTCATATTCTTATTCTAATTCATTCTCTCTCTCCCTCCTACTCTCTATCTCTTCTTCTTCCTCTCTCTCTTTCTCTCTCTGTCTCTCACACACACACACGCGCGCGCACACACACATGTATACTCACACACGCACGCACACATACACACGCACGCACACATACACCCGTCACTGAACTTTACTCCATATAAGCAGGCTAAAAGCCATTTAACATGGCCTCTATCCAACAAAAGCAATCAACTCATAGCATATATCTTCTCCTTGGCTCCCCTGAAACTATAGATGGCCATGCCTTACATTAATTATGATAACAAAAATAACCATTTATCAGGTGTCTGTTATGTGCAAGGCACTATGCCAGGCACTTGCCTATATTATATGTAACCTCATAACATTCTGCAGGGCATCATTATCCGATTTTATAGGTGAGGGACCTGAGGCTTGGACAGTTAAAATAATTTGCCCAACATCACCCACAGCCTCTTCATGGCACAATGCAAGCCTGCTCTCTCCCCATGCGCCATGCTCCTTGTAGAGCTGTTTGCAGTGTTTGTTTTGATGATTAAATAATGTAAACACCCTTCTGTGTCAATTTGTCAGTCAGTCAACTGTGCACATAAACCCATGTGGTTAGGAGAGGTTGGTACCGTGGTCACTCTTACTGTAATTATTCTAGTTTGACTGGAAATGTCAATAAAGAGCCAGCCAGCCATGCATACTTTCTGAGCTATTGTTTTGTAAATGCTTCAGTATTCAGCCTCACTTACCTGCTGTGCCATCAGAAGGGATACTGAGCCTATTTCATTATCTATATTAAAATCTTGGATGCAGGCACCACAGGAAGAGCCGCTGCATATTTAGAAACTTCTGCCATTTTAGTCCTCCTCGCTGGGCTGGCTGTCTCTCAGATTAATTTAATACTTATTGCTAGTCTCTGTTCTAGAGATTTATAGACGATAGGAGTATCTGAAGCAGATTAAAGGAAGTATTGCTATAAGCTGGGCACAGAGGAAGCACCTGATAAAGTGCACGTTCTGAGTGGTTTTGTAGAAGGAGGCACAGTGTAGAGTGGCTACTATTCCCACTAGTCTGAATGTTTTTGGGCCCTGTCCTCTAAGCTTCTATAAGCCTGTCTCAAACGGAAACAACCAACTCTACTTACTCCACGTTCTTATGATATATTTTGGGGTTCATGTCATGTTTAAGTGACGAAGGAGGTCAAAAGCCAGCTGAGCACCATTTAAGATGTAGTCTTAAGCTTTTCAGCCTCAGAGAGTTACTCATATTGTTGTTTTGGTAGGTGAGACTTTCTGGAGATTGACATCACTTTACAACAGAAGTATGCTGGCAATATGACTGACACCAGTTATTTGTTCAAAAACCAAAAGCTACTATAAATCGAGCTTCTTTTGCATGTGCTTCGATCTTTACAGCTATTATTTCCTGTTCTTACAACAACCATTCATGTTGTTGGATAATTACTCACATTCCACAAATGTGAGTACTGTGCCGGCATCCCAACCAGGTGTGTTTAATTTCAAATCTTGAACTCTTTCCACTCTTCCTCATTGCCTAAAGGCATTCTCGCTGCTGTTACATTGACAACTGAAATGTCAGCCCCTTTGCCTGTTTGTCTTCGATAGACTAGCTAGAATTTTCAGTCATTTCCCTTCTGGGGTTCACACAGCACTTTGTACATACCTGTCAGAGCACTTTCTGTTGTATTCTCATTGCTTTTACTGCATCACAATTGGTCGTTTCTTCTTCTAGATGCTGAACTTCTTAAAGGCAGTAACAGTGACTCATTTTTTTTCAACCCAGCAGCTGGAAGTGTTCTGGGTTTAAATCTCGTGTCTAGTTTTGCTGACGTTATATCCTCAGCATGTGATACGCTGCCTGTTGGCAAACAGTATATGCTTAGTAAATATGGAATGAATTAATGATTGAATAAATATAATCTTAGATATTATTCTTCCTCTACAGATCTTTTTCATTATTAAGACTGAGGAATAATAGTTTCTACTTTATAGGGTTGGTATGAGATTAAATGAATGAAATGAGACCAGAGCGAGCGATGGTGTGATGGTGATCTTTGAGATTCAGAGAGTGGTTTTAAGATTTCTCATGTTGCTGTGTTTAAATAGTTCACTTATGTTTATCTCTATAGTAGTATTCTAGTATATGAATATGACATAATTTGCTTATCCATTCTCCTGTTGATGGATATTTGGGGTGCTTCCAGTTCTTTTATGAATAAAGCTGCTGTGTATATTCTTGAACAAGTCTATTTGTAGACGTATTTTTCATTTCTCTTGCACACAAATGTAAGAGTAGAATTGCTGAGTCATAAGGCAGGTGAATGTTTAGTTTATTGGAGGATGCCAAACTGTTTTTGTGAAGTGACTTTACCATTTTATATTCTTAACAACAATATAGAAGAGTTCTAATTGTTCTACATCTTGTGACACTTGGTATTATTGTGCTTTCTAATTTTAGCCATTCTGGTGGATGTGTAGTAGCTCACTCTGGCTTAATTTACACTTCCCTAGTGTCTAATGATGTTGGCTATCTTTTCATGTGCTACGTGACCATTGATATAGCTTCTTTTATGAAGGGCCTCTTTTTAAAATTGGATTCTTTGTCTTTTTATTATTGATTTGTGGGAATTCTTTATGTATTCCGGATACAAGTCTTTTATCAGTATCATGCCTTTTAAATTTTTAAATGATGTCTTGATAAATAAATTTATGAAGTGCAATTTATTATATTCTTTTTTTTCATGGTAGTGCTTTTGTATCTTAAGAAATTATTGTCTACCTCGAGGTTATAGGATTTTTTTTTAGTATTTTCTTCTATAAGTTTTATAGTTTTGGCTTTCATATAAATCTGTGATCCCTCTCAGGTTAATTTTCATATGTGTAGAGAGAGGAAGAGTTAAAATCTTTTTTTTTTTAAATATGGATGTCCAGTTGCTCCAGCATATTTTATTAAGAACTTTCCTTTCCCATTAAATTTCATGGCACATTTATCAAAACTCAAATGACCATATGAGTCTACTTCTGGACTCTCTATTCTGTTTCATTTTTGTCCATCTGAAACAGCTGAAGTCTCAGAGGCCTGGCGCTGGAGAAGCCTTCTCCCTATTAGACTGAGAATGGCAGCTCTAGGCTGTGGAATAGGGACCAGGCATAGGCTGTTATTTCAAGCTGCTGTGTTTTATTTTCGTGGAACAGGAAGTCATTATCTGGAGAGTCACAAATCCTTGAGAGTTCATTAACACTTCAGGAAAGGGAAATGTCACTTGCTTGCCAGCAGGTAGAGCAGGCTTTATCACTGGAGCTACAGAGCCTCCCAGGAGCCATTCAAAATAACTATCTTGTCAACTTAATCACTTTTTTTTCCTAATCACAGGTTCCTGATACAGGGTATGTTGGGGTTTTTTGCTTGCTTTTTTAAAATACTAATGTGCCTACTAGTGAATATCATTTATTTTCATAGTCTTATATTGATTATTGAATTTAAAACTTTTATCCTAAGCAAAACAACTACCCTCAAAATGAAGAAATAAATGTCCTCTTTCTCTTCTTTCATCAGTAATAATTAAAATAGTTTAAATCGATAGCATACCATATTTCACAAATGGTATTCACATGTCTCATTTCGTCCTCATGACCATATTGTGATAGGTACACCAGATTATTATTATTATCCTTTTTAAAAGTGAAGAAACTGAGATTTAGAATTGAATAACTTGCTCAAGATGAGATAGTTCTAAAGACATCGAGCTGCAGTCTCAAGGCTGCAGCATAAGAGAGGTCAAGCTGAGGGTTGTGAATTCGGCCTCCTTGGGCTCACATCCTCATTCTACTGCTTACCAGTCTGTGACTTTGGTTAGGCTACCTAACCTCTATGCCTCAGTGTCCCTGTCGATAAAGTAGGGATAATGGTGGGACTTACTCATGTAGGTGTCTCCAGGATCAAACAGATAGTTTCAGTGCAGCTGTAGGCAGAGCACCTGGCCTGTGCTACATGATGGTGAGCACCAGCCTTGCCACTGCTGTTGTCTGAGGTGGAAGCGATGGTGGGTCATTATCTCTCTCTCTTTCCAGCTGTCTCTCTTGCTCTAAAACCTGAAATCTACGTCCAAAGTCACCAGAGTACTCCAGACACACTCCAAAACTCACCAAGGGCTCTGTGGGCTTAGAGAAACTAATCCCAAATTAAATACTTTGAAGAAAAACTAACACCATAAAGGTAGCTTCCCCCTGTTGAATTTTGCCTGATACTGACGATTATGTGGTGTTTTCTCCTCTAAAACACCCCCTTTTCTTCTTAATCGTAACTAGACATCTTAAGGTTTTAGATAGTTACATTCTTCCTCTCGAAATATTTTTGGGTCTACGGCTATGCCACCCTGAATAAGCCCGACCCTGTCTGATCGGGGAAGCTAAGCAGAGTTGGGCCTGGTTAGTACTGGTTAGTACTGGTTAGTAGACCACCTAGGAAGACCAGGTGCTTTGGTGTAAAAAATAAAAAATAAGGGATTGTAAGCTGACAAGGTCCTTGCAATCTGTGAGATCAACCAAGGGTTGCCTCACCTAAACTATATATATATTTTTGGGGGGAGGTGAGGGGGGAGGACTATTCTTTATTCACTAACAACTTTTATCAAATTCATGATGACTATTGTATTTGCCACAATCTCCTCTTTGAAGATAGGATAGAAATTCCTGTGCTGTACAGTGCATGCTCTTGAAAAGTTTTTGAGGAAACAAACCTCTGTTTTATGTTGAGTAACCTGCCCTAAAACTTGTTAAGTTTCTTGCTTAGAGGTGGGCAGATGATTCTGTCTGTTCTTTGTTTGACTTCTCACATATATGCAAATAAGAGGAGGCAACAAGTAACCACGCCTCCCAATATGCTGTGTGTCTAGCTGCAGAGGACACTCTACCCCTGGGAAACGCTCTCCAGGTAGGACACAAAGGTTACTATTTTAAAATGTTGGCAGCACCTTTGTCAACATTTCACAGTATATCACAGGCAGGCAAGAAACTTCAGACTTGGGAATAGAAGTCCTGATCCATTACCTCATTTCTGTCTACTGAAACCCTTGACTTTAAATGTCAACGGGAGTCACATTTACTTCATGAGACAAATCATTAGCATTGCTCATTCCTTTATCCAGTATCATACTTTCTTATGACTTCATGTATCCTGCACATCTCCACTGAGGCAGCTAGACATTGCATATATGTGCTGGAATTAATATGTTTTCATGCTCTGCTCTTCGAGCTCTATTAGCATACATAAAGCTCATACTAAGAACTTGGTCAGATATTGCCAACCACCACTGACACTTACTGTCTTCCACATTGCCTGTTTTGAATGTTGTCCCATGAAAATTCTCATCTAAGAATGCTAAGCAAAAAATGTAGTCTAAAATTGTATATGCAGAATGGTCCCTACTCTGTAGGTAAGTGTTTATGAATGCGTATGTGCAGAGTGAGACAGCCTGAAGGAAACACACTGTAATGGTGACATCAGTCATCTCAGGTAGCAGCAAGATTCAGGTGCTTTCTAATAGTCTATGTGTGTTTCTGTACCTTCCAAATTTCCTGAAGTACAACTTATTTAAAATTATCAAAAAGTTTCATCTTCTTGACATTTATCGAAACAAATTGTTATTTATTTTAGAGCTTAGTGAATGGAACGTATGAATTCACATGTGAGTGCATTAGATTCACTGGGCCTTAAATCTTGAGTTTTCCCCAGCTGAGGAGAAAAACACTCAACCGTGATCCAAGGGACAGTTGGAGGACAAGTCACTAAAGTGGTATCTGCCAGTTCAGGGTGTATAAAGCTATGAGAGTGTTTTGGCCCTCTACTTTCTCCCTCTTCTCTAGTTACTTATTTCATTTCCTTTCTCAGAAACACTTACAGTCTCTGGGAGACTTTTGAAAATGCCATGACCTCTTTAATATGTGAAATGTATGTAACTCAACACACAAGTTTTGGTTTAATGTATCTGTAAATAAGTCTTTATTCTAAGACTGCTTTCTGCATTTTTATGGTCTTCTAATTCTAAAATGCAATAACTGCCCACCTAGGACCCATTCAAATAGCCTGAGGAATTCTAAGACTCATTTGGGACCTAAAACTACCTCAATATCTGGAAAGTAATTATAGACCTTACCAAACAGCGGTTGAGCACTTTCGAACGTTAGGGGCATGTTCACATGTGTTGTTTCATATTTGCTTCCAAACGAGAACAATGATTATGATTATCCCATGTGACATTGAGGGAATGGCACAAAGAGACTCACCCAAGACCACAGCAAGTTTGTGGCAGAGCCAGGACTAGAATAAAACCTTCTGTTTCATGGCTTTATTAAAGCTCCCACAATGCCAAAACAAATGTCTCCTTCCAAGATCTCCCCAAGGGTACCTGGACTCTAAGGAATAGTAATAATAATAATAATAATAATAATAATAATAATACCACCAAATACTTATATACTGTGTGCTATGTAAATTTTATATATGTTAAATCAGTCCTCACCATAATTTAAGAGCTAAGTACTATTATTATCTCCATTTTATAGTTGCAGGAACGGAAGCCTAGTGAAATTAAGTAACTTGGCCAAGGTCACAGAGCTGGTTGGTGGGTAGAGTAGCCAGGATGTGAAGCAGCCTGGAGCCACAGTCCATAACCTTGACCACTTGACAATGTAGCAGATCCTATCCGCTTCCACCTATGTTTATGCCTACAGTGACCCAGGCCTAAGATGGCAGTTCTTCAGAAAAGAGCCTTAAAATTCCTTCCCTGCAAACTTACAGTGTTTGAAGTATGTGTCTCGCATTATTTAAGCAATAAGAATACCGTTCTTTTTCCGTGT